CTCACCCGTGCGGGCGCTCAGACCCGTCCCACGTGAAGAGGCGGTGGCGTGGGGGGTTGTTCATTTTAGAAAGGGCTGTTGAAAAGCGCAAGTGGGAGTAGTCGGGCACTGGCCTCTTCAACAAGCAGTTGAAGTAACAAATTGTGTTTAGGGCTGTGCGTGACCGCGGGCCTGGTGTGCCCGTCGCGCGCGAGCGTGAATCTGCGCTGGTGTTTGCTCTCGGCGAAGTTGGAATTGTCTGAGACCCAGAGACCCCGCAGGTGACTCTCCTGCACCACCTTCCTGTGTCGAAAAGCCCCAGAGGATTTTAGGAGTGGTTCCCTCTTACTCCCGGGTACTGCCTGTAAAATGTTGGACGGATCTTTCTTTGCCTCCGGCTGCTCGTCCCTGACTTTGTCATTCCCAGGTTGAGGATCTCTAGCTGCTAGTGCCACGGGCCTTGCTCGTGTGAGGCACGGTTTGATGTTATTGACGGGGTGCCTGGTGCCTGTTTCCTGTCGCTTCGTAACCACGTCCTAACACGTTGTCAGTACTTGAGGAAAGCTCCTGCCTGATGGTTCCACTTCTCTTTGTCCTCCTCAGTTCTGTGCCAACGACCCCGAAGTCTTTGTCCAAGCAGCGCTGTTGGCTCAGGATTATTGCGACGCCATCGACCTCAATCTGGGTTGCCCCCAGATGATTGCAAAGAGAGGTACGTGCGAATCCGAACCCTGGAGAAGCAGAGACGCGGCGTGTTTCCCACGTGGACGGTGGCGGTAAAATATCAACAGGACCAAACTGGGGGGGTTGGGTTGGTTACACCCACTGTAACCAGTAGGGCTTTGCAGTGCCTGAAGCAGGACTAAGACATGCCAGTAACTAATTCCAGCAGCTCTTGAGTCTGGAACATCCTTCAGAAAAAGTATTTTTAGCAAGAGCTCGATTTTCTTTCTGACCCCAGTTGTTCAAGGAGCCTAATTCTGCAAAACTGCACCAGGAGTTACGCCATGCAGGCACTCGGCATCCCCTGTCCCCCTGATGTTTGTTTGTTCACGCTGGCATGCCAGGGAAGGATAACACCCCCTGAATCCCTGAGGTGCTCTTTTGGAAAGCAGAACCAGTGTTTGGGAACTCTGGCTCCCTCAGGATGTTGAGGAAGGATTTGTTCAGTAACTACCCCTTCCTCTTCTAAAACGTCTTTCAGAGACCCGCGGGACCTGCCCCGTGGTGTCCGGGGCAAACAGATCTTTCGCTCTGATCAGGTTTTACCCTGAAGGGAATTTTAAACTCCCCGTACAAACCCCTGAGAGTTGGACTTAAAGCTGCCGGTGCCAACACCAGCCTTAGGCAGTAGCAGCGAAAGCGCGGCGTGGGGAGCCGCTGTTAATCCTGTAAATCCAGGGAGGCATGGGGAACAGGATGATCCAACCCTTCCCGTTCGGCAGGGCAGGGCAGCTCTTTGTGGCAGCGAGGCGTGTGGGTGTCCGGGGCCGTGTGCGGGATGTTAGGGAAGCTGTGTACCCTGGCTCTTCTGTACCACCCTGTCCTGCACTGTTGTAGGTCACTACGGCGCGTTTCTGCAAGAGGAGTGGGATCTTCTCCAGAGAATGAGTAAGTGTCCAGAGAGACTTTCCTTGGAGAGGGATTGGGATGAACTCATCCCTGAGAGGATAAGCGAGGCATTTTTGGGGAAGCGAGGCGCAGTGTATTTCTTTGGGGAGGGTCGCGTTTGGGGGTTGTTTTTTTTTCTTTCCTTCTTCCTTCGAGTGTTCCAGTGGCACCCTCGGGAATACCCACCCACCCACGCTCAGTGGTGTCCCACTGCCGACTCCTGCTACATCTGCTGAAAGACCCGAAGCAGACTGTAGGTGCCAGCGAGTCAGTTATCCCAGTGGAACTTAGTGGCCCCCAGGTCCAGAAACCGCAGAACTCCCAGTGCCTCCACACCCCTGGGTGCCAGGAGTCGCGTGTCTGCCTGCAGCCGCAGTTGCCTTTCTCCGATCAGCTCCGCGTGTGCCTTCCCCCCGCACCGCAGCAAGCGGTGCCTCTTCTCCGGAGCGCCATCGGATGCTGCCAGGCTGCGGGTAGCGTTAGCAGCTGGGAACTGTAGCCCGTTTCTTTTAAAGAAATACATTCGGAGCTGATTGCAAACCTCATTGTGTGGAGCCAAGAACGTGCTTTCGCCCCGCTCCGAAGCAAGCGCCCCAACGGGGAAGCTAGAGGGTCTCTACTCCACAGCCCGTATCCTGGGCTGGATCCAGAGCAGTGTGAGCAGCAGGGAGAGGGAGGGGATTCTGCCCCTGTGCTCTGCTCTGGTGAGACCCCACCTGGAGTGCTGCGTCCAGCTGTGGAGCCCTCAACATCAGAAGGATATTGACCACTTGGAGCGAGTCCAGAGGAGGCCACGAAGATGATCAGAGGGCTGG